TCACACATAATACATAGCATTTGTTACATATATCATGTTGCAAGTGTGTGAGTTCATCTGCAGAATACGTAGAATTGCTGAGTCAAAATGTTAGGAACATTTATAATTCTGATAGGTATTGCTAAACTGTTTTCCAGATAACTGATTCCCAGTTTTCATTCCTGCCAGCAATGTATGAGAGCTTGCCAGTCGCCTTACATTCCTACAAGTGTTTAGTTGACTTTCTGATCTTTACCAATCTAAGGTGAAAGTGATAGTCTCACTTGACATTTCAGTGTGGTTAACCATCTTATACTGAAGAGTCCTTTTCTTTTCCTTGAATTGTCTATTGATATTGTTTATTCACCTTATGTCTACTGTTTGTTGCCCTTTCTCTTTTTAATTGGAAAGAACTCTTGCAAATATTTTTTTCCCTCTTTATCATCTTGACTTTGTTCTTTTTGTTTAGTCAACCTTTTGTTCTATGGCCTCTGGACTTCAGGTCACAGTTAAAGCTTTTCAAAACTGATAAAAATTCTCAGCTATTTAAAAATATTACTCTTTCCCTGTATTTTCCTTATGGAATATCTATCAGAAGTCTCTTGTACCTTCTCTCACTTTATCCTACACATCCTGTGGACTTAAAAAATAGTAATTCCAGGGGCACCTGGTGACTGAGTTGGTTGAATGTCCGATTCTTGATTTCCGCTCGGGTTGTGATCTCAGGCTTGTGGGACTGAGCCTCACGTGGGATTCCGTGCAGGATGTGGGGCCTGTTTCTCCTGCCCCCTACCCCCCCCAAATAAATAAATAAATAAATATATATATATATATATATATAATTTTTTTTTCGAGATTTTATTTATTTATTTGACACAGAGAAAGAGACCGCAAGAGAGAGAACACAAGCAGGGGAAGTGGGAGAGGAAAAAGCAGGCTTCCCACTGAGCAGAGAGCCCAATGCGGGGCTTGATCCCAGGACATTGGGATCATGACCTGAGCTGAAGGCAGCTGCTTAAGGACTGAGACACCCAGGCACCCCCAAAATAAATATTTTTTAAAAATGTTTAAAATAACAGTTTCCATGTCTTTGTTTCTTTGTGCTATAGTCTTGGTAATTGCAGTGGTTTTTGATCATTATGTCTCTCTGTGTCTAACTGGCTTTCGGACTGATTAAGAGAATCCTTTTTGGGCTATATGATAGACATGTGCCTTCAGCAGTTTTGTATTTGCTTCTGTCAGGTGCTCTAGAGGTTTCTCTGGGATTGGACTAATTTTTATGTTTACTTCTTAGCTCAAGGGTTCCCAGAACATTTAGGTGTAGTATAAATTCAAATCCTATACCAACTCAGTACTATGGTTTATGAATTCTTGGGAAAGACTTGTCCAGCCCACTCCTTTATATCCACCTAGAGCCCAGACCAACCTTAAAGATGTTTCATTGTCTTATCCCTCCTCCTGTATAGTCCTTTGAGGGACCAGCTTTATGCACTGAAATATATTTTATTATATACATATTGCTTCTAACTTTGTAAGTTAAGACATAAATTCCTGGATTTTGAGAATCCAGTGAGGCTTACCCAGAATAACTCTAGGTAGTTACACAAGCTTAGGTGTTCTCTGCTCTTTGTATCTGGCTCCTGAACAAATCCTTTACTTTGTACACATGAATAATGCATTTAAACTTTTTGTTACATTTTATCCAGCATCTGGTGTTTTCAAGTTATCTAGCTAGACATAATGTCTGAACTTGACATGTTTATAATATATGTAATAAATGAAATTCTTATTCTTTTAGCTAGGATTAAAGATTTTGAAGCTTAGAGTCATCTGGAAGTAAACATACTAAAATAATCATTTGTTATTGCACTACACAAGTGCAATTATTTAAGTTTTATATATTATTTAAGTTTTGACATATTCCTTTTGAATTGACTGATTTTGTCTGTTAATTCTTATGTCGGGGGCTTAATCCTTGGTACCCCTTTTTCAAAAAGGTGAATGTAGTGACTTGGGAATATTTAAAATGCCAGTTTGTCCACCAAGTTTCTTTGTTTGATTTTCTTTCAGCCAGCAAATACTGCAAAATGTTAGTTGAAGAAGAAGGATTGCAGCTTTTGTGTGACATCCAGGACCACAGTAAGGCAGACCCCCAAACACAGCAGATTGCAACCTCCATTCTAGATGACTTCAGAATGCATTTCATGAACTATCAGAGACCCCCTCTGTGTTGAATGCCCTTCTTAACCTGTGGGGCTTCAGAGGTGCTCTCTGTTCTCAGTGTCAGGACTTCTGCCTTGCCAGCAATTAAATGTTGGAACCAGTTGTCATTGGAGTTTGTGAGTTGGCTGCCTCACTGGCCTTTTATTGTTGATTTTCTGTAGACTACAGAAAGGTTGGATTTGAATGACAGCCGCAATCCCAAATCAAGTTGGAATCATTCTGCAAACACCCCTTCAGTAGTTTTGAAAAGTCAAGTCTTGGACTCTGTGGGAAGATCTATGAGCTTGTGTTGCAATAGCACTGCCAGTTACTTTTCCTAACCCTGGCCAGTTTCTTAACTCTGGGAGTTTGTCAGAGGAAGGGGAAAAGAAAGACCTATAGGGAGACCTTGGTATTTATGTTAAATTTCATGTTTGAAAGAGTATCCTGAGTTACTATTCCTACTTATGTGAGGCTAAGAGAAAAGAAGTATGTAAAAAAGTTCTGGAAAATACATACTTACTGGAGGCAGAATTTCCATTGGAGGGGAGGAACAAGTGGGGGGGGGTGTTTAAATAAATACCCAGGGTGCCTGGGTGTGGCTCAGTTGCTAAGCATTTGCCTTTGGCTCAGGTCATGATCCCAAGGTCCTGGGATCAAGCCCTGCATCGGGCTCTCTGCTCTGCGGGAAGCCTGCTTCTCCCTCTCCCTCTCCCCCTGCTTATGTTCCCTCCCTTCGATGTGTCTATCTCTGTCAAATTAAAAAAATAATAATAATAAATAAAATAAAAACCAAAGTATCTTCCACTTATGGGGGTAGAGAGAAGGAAAAAAAAATTTTTTTTTTTTAACCAATTTTGGATATTCTGCCTCTGGCCTTTCTTCCTCCAACTTTACACATTCGATTGAGTGAACGTGACATTCTGTGTAGGTGGGTGTGGTGGTGGAAAATAGTAGAACTTAGGAGTTCTAGTAGAGTGTTTAGGTGAAGACTGTATGGGGACTGTAAATCTTAATTCTGTCAAGTTTTGATTTTGTGGGACTGTGACCAACCCAAGAGGAAGAGGAAGCCAAAAAAAATACTTTGCTATAGATTTCAAGAGTGCTCTTGCCTAGCATGGAGGCAAGAAAAATAGGGGCTTTTAAGAACCAACCTCAGCTGCAGTGCACACTACCAGAAGCTTCTGTTTTTGTCCTTTGCAAACCTCTGTGGAACAGAGTATGAATTCCTTCCTTATTACTGACAGCTAATGAAATGGGTCTTGCCATTCATCTGTCCAAAAAACAAAAGTAAATTCTTTTATGATGAGTAGTATATTTTCATACTAGGTATTTGTGCTTTTAGCTGACTGGACTCTTAACTGGAGTACTGTATACCATCTTTTGGAATCAAATGAGGCTTATCCTTATTCTGAATCATATTCCAAATTCTTGCTCACCAGCATCCCACTTGATAAGAGGAATTTGTGACCTGTTTCTTCCTACAGTTCTGACACTGCATTGTATTTTCTCTTATTCTCTGTTCTGCTTAATTCCAAAGGCTGTCTTCATTTCCTGAACTGGGTTCTAGTACTTTAGAACATTCTGTTACCAGATACTAGCTCTTGTTAATGTGAGGATAATGTAGGAATTAGTGCCTGTTTAGGCATCCCTCCAAGTTTTATTTCATTCACAGCAATCCTCTGGGATAGATAAATTGTATTCTCCCCATTTAACAGATGAGAAAAAGGATGTTCAGTGAGGTGGTTACTTTCCAGAGTGGTTACACCCAGTGCATAGTTCCAGCTAATATGGTTCGTTCTGATTTTATGACCTGGGCTCTACTGTGTTACTCTTCCTTCCAGGAAGACAGGGTCGGGCACACTTGTATTTAGCAGCATAACAACAGTGTTACTGGTATATATCTGTGCCCTTGGCTTAGTGTCTCCAGGCCAGGCCTAGGCTGGGGAAGCTCAGATGAATTAAAAAATGACCGTAAGGCCAAAGCTTAAGATGCAGCCTTCTCTTCTCCTACCTTGGTACAACAGGAAGGCTAGCTAGTGTGCATGTGTTTATTAGCCTCCATCATTTCTAAGTGTGTTATCCTCCTGCTCACCTTCACTCTTGCTATTCCCCCTCAGCCTTCCACTCCTTTCCACAATGCCTGTTGAGCCTTCATGCTTCACTCCACTGTTACCTGCCCATTTCCTGACCCTCCGCTCTCTCCCTCAGACTTAACTGCTCGCTTCTCAGTGCTCCTGAAGGCTATGTACCACAGCCATCAAAGATTGCCTGGCACTGTATATAGTTCACAAAAGGTTTTCCTAGTGATAATTTCATTTGGTTCTCATAAGAACACTGTACATTAATAATAACTCCGTTTATTGAACATGAGGCACAGTTCACTTTCTTTCACAAGCACTCTTTTTTCTTTTCTTTCCCCTTCCTTCCCTCCCTCCCTTCCTTTCTTTCCTTCCTTCTTTCCTCCTCACGGCATTTTTGTTTTGCAGATAAGGCAGCTGAGGCACATAATGAATGGCAGTCTGATGCCAGGGTTTGTGTAGTATCTCTATTGTACAGAGGAAGAAACTGGAGCCTTCTTAGAACCTTTTGCCATCTCTGGTGAGCACCTAATAACTGAGAGCCAGAGGTCAGGCCTGAAAGCCAACAAGAAAAAGGCCCCGAGTGGTCTATTTTAATCCTTAGTTTGCCATTTGCATAGGGAGGGACAGATAGGCTCCAAAGCCAATTTGACCTAGCGATTATCTAGTCAGGATGAGGAATTATGAAGGCAGCTGTAGGTAGCATGGGCAGTACCTTGGTATGGAACACCATTCCAGTTGTTTTATATCTATCCTTGTCCTTGTGAGGAGACTGAAGCCCGGAGAGGTGAAATGATGAACAGTCACTCTGCAAATTTTCCTTCTGGATCCTGCCCTGGAAGCAGGCATCTCCCATACTTATAGTTAAATGGGAGTCACTTGCCAACAAATCTGGGGGGCCGCTTCTCCCTGAAGGCTGCCATGCCCTCCAGGCGGTCCTGGGTGGGGATGTTCTGAAACAAGACAGAGTATTAATTTTGGGTGGAACTGCAGGAACAGAGGCCAATAAAGACTTGCTCAAACTTGAATACCTCATGACAAGGTCAGAGTCCCAGTTCTTTCCATTGTCTCTTGGACAATGAAAATTGTCCTCTGAGGTAATGCCTCAGTGGCTCCTTGGTCTCCTGGGGAAGGTAGGCTACATCTCTAGCATCTGTGGCCTATCCCATTAGTCTCTTGCCCACTGCTTACATGCCTCTAGATCGCCTGCGGCCATCTGACATGCAGCTATTTAGCAGAGAAAAACAGTTAAGTTTTTCAGTAAGAAATCTAGCTTTGAGTTCTGCAAGTTCTAGGACTTTTTTTTAAGAGCATTCTGGATATTTGTTAACCTGGAGATTAGTATTTTTGACTCACCCAGGAATCCAGGGCTAAGTAAGCCACAGGTCACCACCACCCCCACCACCCCTTCCTCCCTCACCCCCACTGAACACACACAGCCTGCAGGTTATAACGAAGGCCTTGACATCCTGACTCCAACCTAGCCTCTGCAGCAACCACTGGTACAGAAAGTGGAAGTGGTGGTTTGTCAGGTACCTGCCTGTGTGCTCTGTGATTCTGGGGACAGAGTATACACTATTGGATGGCCTAGGAAACAGTCCTAGAGAGAAGCAGTGTGGTTTCCCTAGGACTGTCCCAGGCTAATTGTAAGAGGGAGTGGTCCAGAGTCTAACTTTTCAAGTTGGGAGGAACCATTAAATTGGTCACATATTGTACAAGGCTCCCGACTCTGGCCTGGCCTCGGCTTGGAAGTGTGTGCGGACTGGCAGCAGTTACATACCTGGGCATAGCATATGCCTTCAATGGCCATCCCTGATGCGATGTCCACCTGTGAGAAAGAAGTGGTGCCTGGATCAGCCTGACCTTAGTGCCAACCATCCTACTGCCTGTACCCCCATTCCCTACTGTTCATGGATTCCTCCAGCCAAGTGTTACTGAGCTTATTGTAGGCTAGTCCCTGTGAACAGAGATGATTATGATCAGGAATTTCCTACTGGGAGAGGGAACACCATTTGTAACTGATAAAACAACGTTGGGACAAAGGGCTGGGGAGGACGGCACTTGGCCTAGAGAGCTAAGGAGAAGGGTAAGTGTGAGCTGTGTTTGCAACAGCCAGAGTTCCGTCTTCACATCTGGCTGCGTCCCCTGCCTCCTGTCCCTCCTGGAAAGGGAACTTCACAGGTTTTCGTTGCCCTGGGGAATAACATCCTAGGCTCTGACAACTTTCCAGCGTCTATTGCCCAATGCTTACTGTTACTACTACTTACAAGCACTGTTCTAAGAAAATCACCATATGTGTATAAATTCAACTGTTATCGCTACTACACAGCTGAGAAATCACGCATAGAAAGTAAAGGTCAGGGGCACCTGGGTGGCTCAGTTGGTTAGGCGGCTGCCTTCGGCTCGGGGTCATGATCCTGGAGTCCCGGGATCAAGTCCCACATCAGGCTCCCAGCTCCATGGGGAGTCTGCTTCTCCCTCTGACCTTCTCCCCTCTCATGCTCTCTCTCTCTCTCTAGAATAAATAAATAAGATCTTTAAAAAGAAAAAAAAAAGGGGGGGGGGAGAAAGTAAAGGTCACAACAGTATATAGAAAAGCAGGTCTTTGAACCCAGGCCAGGCTAGCACCAGAGCCTTTGCGCCAATCTCTGTGCTGTGTAGTTTGACTCATTCCTCACTCCTGTTCAGTCAGGTTGCTTATTGATATATATCTGTGCTTTTGCTCATACCTTTCTCTTTTTCTTGAACCCTCATCCTTCCCAAGGCCCAAATCTACAAAACCTCTTCAACCCAACAATACCCAGTAGTAGCCACTAGCCACATCAGTAATATCACAGCTCTCACCCCTTCAAGGTGTCTGCTTGATACCCCCTCTTAAGTAACCTCTTCACCCATGTGGGGCTCAACCCCAAGATTATACAAGATTTGTATGCCTTTTTTTTTTTAAGATTTTATTTATTTATTTATTTATTTGACAGATAGAGATCACAAGTAGGCAGAGAGGCAGGCAGAGAGAGAGAGAGAGAGAGGAGGAAGCAGGCTCCCTGCCGAGCAGAGAGCCCGATACGGGGCTCGATCTGAGGACCCTGGGATCATGACCCGAGCCGAAGGCAGAGAGGCTTTAACCCACTGAGTCACCCAGGCACCCCAAGAGTTGCATGCCTTATTGACGCAGCCACCCAGGCAACTCTGCTTGGTATCCTTAACCCTGTATTAGTGATTCTGTGTGTATCTGTTCTCTCTTCGCACCTTAGAGACAGTGACCATATTTAACTGATCTCTTTGTCCCAGTTCTCAGCTCAGGTCTAATTTCAGTGTGTAATGAGTGAGTTGACGAGTAAGTTGTTTTAAGGATGAATTAGCTTGCGTCTAAGACACCACCCTGAGTCCTATCCTTAAGGCCACCTTACCACCAGCACAAACCTAAGAACATGGCCTGGGAGCCACACAAGAGCTGTATTCTTATTATTCACTTGCTCTATGACCCTAGACAGGTCTTTTACCCTTTCTGGACCTCAATTACCTTCTGTCTAACGGAGAGAGATGAAGATAAAATGTAATTCAGAATGTCACATGGCCAAACTTTACATTTCATGGGTGGGTAAACTGAGGCACAGAGGGAGAGGTCAGTCTCAATGTCTCTTAGAAGAGTCCAGTTTCTGAGTTTTTCCCAGCTGTGTTCTTAGTCTGCACTGGCATGAAAGCAATGCCTCCCAGTCACTCCACTGACTTTAGTGGACCCAAATCCTAACCCAGAACCTACTCACCTCCATTCCTCTATCAATGGCTACTTTGCCTAGCCGCACAGCAATGGGTGCCTAGGGAAAAGAAAAGAGAAAAGGCTAGGTTGAGGGAATTGGTGCTAACGGTTGGTGGGGGAGAGGGGTTTAGAAGAAAGAGAGGGACATAGCTTCATGGTGGGGAGAGTCATCAACAGGGAGATCAGTCTGAGTCACTTTTCAGCTCTTCTACTGACTGTTACTGACATTTTGTTGGTGTTAGTACTTACTACTTCTCAGTTGATACTCTTTTTCTTTTTTTTAATGTTCAGTTAGCCACCATATTGATATTCTTATCTATAATGAAGGAAGCCTAACTGATCCCTGAGCCTCCCAATTCTGACTATCTCAAATTCTTGTCATTTAATCCATCCCAGCAGTGTGTATAACATGCTACAACTTACAAAATGTTTTCCTACCCACAGACTTGTCTAATGGTGCTACCCACCCTTCAAGGATGGTGCCATCTTTAATTGAGGCTCAGGAAGGTGAAGCACTTGGCCATGTTTGTCCAAAGAGTGGTGAAGCTTGGATTTGATTTCTAGTCACCTTTCCCACTGCTGCTCCATTCCCCTACCCCTCTCATCTTGGCAGATACGAGCCTCCTCTGCAAGAAGGTTTCATACCATCAGAGTAAATGAAAGGTCAAGATTAGGATCTTGGGCTTTGTGGAGTCAGACCAGCCCGGGTTGAGATCCCAAGGGGGCATTTTACACAGCCACTTGGAAGCAAGTGCATCAGAGTGGCCACCTTTGCCTCATTGCTCTTGCTTCTAATCAACTTGTGCCTCTCCAGGCTTCGCCCTCCATCCCCAGCCTCACTTCCAGGCAAAGACTGCATTTATTTCCTCTATTGCTTGTATTGTGTTATTTGAGGGTTTTGTAAGTACAACTTTATCAGAAAAAGATTTTAAAAGTCTGTTAACAGAGAAGAACAGAGAAGCCACAAATGAAAAAGCTAGCTACATAAATATGAATGACCTCATATTGAGAAAAATACCATAAATAAGACAGAAGTCAAAAACTGAGAAGATGTATTTGTGATACTTGTGAGCAGCAAATGTCCTTGATTTACAAAGACCTGGCATAATTTTTTAACAAATATTCACAAGGATAATTCACAGAAAAGGAATATAAACACAAGGATTACTCAGTTTTAGTCTTAAAGAAATGCAGTTCAAAACCACGAGGTGCCCCTTTTCACCTAAGACTAAGTGTAGGTAAATCGTAAAATGCTGTTATTTGCTGAGATTCAGGAAATAGGTACTTGCATACATTATTAAGAGAGTAAATTGGTACAGTGCTTCTGAAGGCAACTTGATAAGAACTGGCAAATGTTATTAGATGGATGTATGTACCCTGATGTTGCAATTCCATGGAGGAATCTACCTTACAGATGGACTGTAAGTATGTGAAGATGTTCAGTTATACACTCCAGCTATTTTATGGTAACACAAAGCAACGTAAATGTTCATTATTAGAGTACTGGTTATGTAATGATGGCACATCTGTACTGTGAATGAAAATGTGCATTTCAAAGAATGAGGTCTGTAAGTATGTGCTGAAATGGGAAACTCTCCAAAATACTGGGTGGAAAAAAAAAAAATCAAGATGAATACTAAGTATGTATATCATTATCCCGTTTGTGTAAAAAATGTTGGCATGATACGCCTTTGGGGATAAGAGTCAGGAGAGTGGAGAACTTCACTTTTGTTTTATACTTTTCCATACTGTTTGAATCCTTACTATGCATATTTTAATTTCATATTTTAAAAATGTTTCTTAGAACTAGATTAGCCTCTAAAGGTGTGTTCTTTGTCCCCCCAAACCATCTTAAAAGGAGTTTAGAGTTATTTAGATATGTGAGTATATGTGCATAATATATATTCTTATATATACAATGAAAATTTCTGGAAGAGTGTGTAAGTTAAGAGTGGCCATCTCAAAAAAAAAAAACCCAATAAATTAAAAATAAAAACAAAAACAGAAGCCAGTAGTCATCTCTGGGGAGACAAACTGGGGAGTTGAAAGCTGTTTTGGTGACCACCTAACCTGGTCTGTCCAGGACAGATAGTTATCAGGATGTGGGACTTTCACTTTTAACTGGGACAGCCTTGGGATGACAGGGTCACCTGGGTCCCCCTACTTTTTCTTTTTTTTTTTTTTTAAAGATTTTATTTATTTGAGAAAGAGTGAACACGAGTGCTTGGGGCGGGTGTGGCAGAGGGCAGAGGGAGAAGCATACTCCCTGTGGAGCAGGGAGTGCAGTGTGGGACTCAATTCCAGAACCCTGGGATCATGACCTGAGCCGAAGGAAGCGGCTTAATCCACTGACCCGGGTGCTCAACCCTATTTCTGATTTTTACCTTATGTCTTTACTCTTCTGTTTTGCTTGTCATGAATATGTATTATTATTTAGGTAACTAACTAATAAACTGATATCTCACCAAAGAAAAGTATAAACTATATAGATAAGGTCTATGTGTATATGCTGAAAACACATTTTTTTTCCTGAATGTGTGGATATATATACCATTGACTCCCTAGTCTTGGTGGTTTATCCACTAGAGAACAGCCAACTACCACACCATCCCCCCAACACTCACCCCACCCAGGAACCCTCTCATTCTCAGCACCCAGTAACTCTGCTAGAAATTAAGGATTGGGATTAGTGAATTTACAACTAATTTTTGGTAAGCTAGTGTCTTGGTATATAAAGCTACTTTTAAGTACTGAAATACTAGTAATTATATTAGTAGAATACCATTGTTTCAGTATATTCAGAAATCTGAATCCTCTTGCATTCAGTTTATGCAAAAAGACAAACCCTATAGTCCACAAGTTTTGCTAGATAGTGCCCGCCCCCTCCCCATGGAAGTACAGTCAGCCATACACTTCCTTGAGACACTCAGAGTTTTATGTTGGTTTAAAGACTTTTTGCTCAGGTGTAGTAGAAACCTGGCAGTATTAAAATGGTCTAGGTAACAGCATCAGATTCTGTTTGTATGTGATGAGGAAAAGAGAAAGACAAAACAAATGCTTTCTTTTAGACCAAACTATTAATTTTTAGAAGTTATAATCCTTACCGTCAAAGAAGACCTCAAAGTTAGGACAAGAAGGATTATTTAAATTTAAGGGAGACAGAAAGATTCCTTTCTTAAATAAAAGACCTTATTTGTGATTAACTAAAATACTTTTATCTGTTTTTAATATGTGGCTAACAGTTTTATAAACATATCTATGTTTTGTAACATGTTTGTAAATTCTTTGTGTTGGAAATGGATTTGACATTTAGTTTGACGTTAATATTCTGCACTCTTTAGAATATCAGTTTTTATATTATATTATATTTTGTATCATGCAAAATAAAAGCCCAAATACCAGTATTGTCTTTTTTTCTGGTATTGCAATCACTTTTTTGTGACCTTGATTGAGCAAGTCACTTAATCTTCCTGGGTCTGTTACATCACAAATACAACAAGGGTAATCAGCTCAGCTGGACTCTAATTGAGAGACATTTAAAGTACATAGGATCATGTCTGATGGGTAGGACGTGCTCCATACGGGCTAAGTCAGTGTTTATTATAAATTATAAGACCTAGCTCCATTTAAAGCTGCTTTCATATGGAAACTTGGGACATCCTTCTCTGTCTTGGAGTAGTGAGAAGCCCGAAGTTAGAGGCTCCCAGGTCCTTGGAGACTCCATCAGCCAGATCCTGGCCTGTCTCCTGCAGGCTCTGGACTTGGCAGCTAGCTGGTAGGGCTACACGTACGCTGGGTCCTAACATGTTTTACATGTACTTCAGGAATTTCTCCACCCCGCAGTATGGTTGGAAAAATAAGCTGGTAGTTCTTTATCTGCTTAGAATGTTGCATTTTTAGTTTGGGGGACATTTTATTACAGTACTGTCCAATGTAGAGGGCAATAGCCACATGTCCCTATTAGCATCTGAAATGGGAAAGTGTAACTGAGAAACTAAATGTTTTATTTTTAAGTAATCTGAATTTAAATATAAGTCTGGATGAGTGGGTCTTGTGTGGCCCCTTGGGACATAGCCCTGGTCTCCCCAGAGGTGAGTGTCCTCCAACACCTGTCTGCTGCCCATGACACAGGCCCTCCCTCCTGTGCTGGGCTGTAGCCACACCTGGGGCAGGATCTCCTGGGCCAATTCCAGTGCCCGATGGTAGGCGGCGTTGCCCTCCTCATTCTGGGAAACAGCGTGATTCACCAGCCCCAGGGCTTGGGCCTGTGCACCACTCAGTCTTCGGCCTGTGAAGATGAGCTCCTTTGCCAGGGCCACTCCCAGGCATCGAGGCAGCCTCTGAGTCCCTCCTGCCGGGATGGAGCAGGGTTAGCAAATCCACATGGGAAGTGGGAGCCCAGAGAAGCCCAGTCTGGGAGTCAACCAGGACTACTCAGAGGAGCAGATTCTGAGTTAGGATGGAAGGGCAGAGCCCAGAGCACAATGCAAAAAAGGAAAGCAGGGAAGTAACCTAGAGAGTGGGGATTAAGTAAGAGAAGGATGGGTGCAGTAGGTAGTTACCTGCTCCAGGGAGGAGCCCTCGGGTGGTCTCGATCAGTCCCATGACGGCTGAGGAAGCTGCTTAAACAGAACAGAGTGAAGCACGCACGCTCTCCTGCAGTACCAGTCCCCAGAGGGAAGAGACACCTGCCTCTAAGCTCTGCTCACCCCACCAGCCAACCGCTTCTCTCATGAGGTGGCCACAGCAGACCTCTCCAGACTCTGCCTTGGGAAGAGCCCTAGCGTGAAAGTCAGGAGGCTCAGACCCTCATCCTGCTTCTCCCAGGGGTGGAGGTGCCCATCCAGGCAAGTCTCACCCTGAGCCTCATTCACTGATTATATATATATATACAGACACACACACACACACACACACACACACACATACATACATACATACAGTTCCCCCTCTTCTGCCTTCATCAGAGAGCTGCTAAGGATCAAATGAGGTAATGGTTCTTGTAACAGGAAGGGATTCTTGGAAGGTGCCCAGTGCCTATTTGTGGTTTAATGGATTCTCTGTCTCACTGAACCCTTGACTCTGGCCTGGGCTAGAGCATCAGTGACTCCTGCTCCCACCACAGTTACTCCCCTTGGCTTTTCATCAGGCTGAAATTTCCCTGTGTTCAAGCCACATCTCCTGTATTCCCTCACAGGCCATCTGAACCATGCAGTGTGGCCGCAGGGAATGGCCACTACTGCCTGTGCAGGGTTTTACATTCTCCTTGCTATCTACCAAACCTTGCAAGGTAGTTGCCCTAAACATGGGCACATGAGAAGCAAGGTGGAGCATGACCTGACTTGGTATCCTGATGCCTTCTCTTTGATAACGCATCATGTAGATACAGGCTACCTCTGTACCTGGAGGTACATATTTCTAAATGTTCTACCTGGAGTGTCAGGAGAAAGCAGTGAGGGGAAGAGAAGATAGTGACACCACCTAGCGCTTAGACTTTCTGTCTCCTAGAAGTGTACACCTGACCATCAAGTCAGGTTAAAGGCAATCAATTATCTCCATACCCTCCCTCCAGTCTGCAAAGGCCAACTGCTCTGAACGGGTAATGCAAACCTTGGCTGACGTCAGGGAGCCAGAGAGCAGTGTTCCTGCCCAAGCATGTTTGTGAGCAGCCAGGCAGTAGTGACCAGCTGCACCTGTGACTGTCTCTGTGCAAAACATGACACAGAATTGGGTTGCACAGGACTAGAAAGTTGAACAATTCGTCTTTGTCCCCAGTCTCCCTTCTCTTGTTCTTCTGTCCTCTAGCCAGTCGCTCTGGGGTTGGCAAAAGCATTCTAGAGATGAGGGGGTCTGGTTCTGAGAGGTGACAGGCACTACAGCAGTCAGGGCTGGGCCAGGAGGGGAACCAGCTTACACCCAAACTCTGTGATCTCCCATGTAGCCTTTAGTTTTGCTGCTCTTTGGAAAGCCCAGAGTAGTGGCTAACTTTGCAGCATCCCCAGACATAATCTGTTTTACTCACACATCCCTTCTCACCCTATCCCACCTCTCCTTTTGCCCAGTACCTGCCACTCGGAGGTCACAGGCCAGGGCAAGTTCCAGGCCTCCACCCAAGGCAAACCCGTCCATAGCTGCAATCGTGGGCGCAGGGAAGGCTGCTGTGGAGATGAAGAAGGGCTCAGCCTGTGAGGCCCTAGAAGGACTGGGACAAGGACTCAAGGCTGGGGAGGGCCTATGGCCTCACTGGTCCCAGGTTTGGAACCTTACCTCGTACCTCCGCCAGTTACCTTAGAAGTAGGTTTTCTTACTGGGGAAAACTGGGGAAATCAATTGGGGTACTGGAGTGAGGAGATGGGCTAGATGATTCCCACTCAGGCCCTCTTTCCCGTTGGCCTCCCTGGGACCACCAGCCTTTCTGTTCTGTGTGTCAAGCCCCCTGCTCGGTGCTAGGAACATAGAATTGAATAGACATGGGGAAGGCAGATCTATGAACAGGCAATGATGACCCAGGGTGATCAGTACTCTGACAAAGCTTAGAGAATGGGTCAGGGAAGGCTTCCCAGTGGTCTTAAAGGGTAAGTAAAAAGTTCAGGTGGCCCAGGAGAGAAATTCCAGGCAAAAGGAACAGTAATTATCAAAGCCTGAAAGCATGGTTGGTGAAATTTGACTCCTATGGAGTAGCTGGACTTGAACCCTGAAGGTAGAGGGGTCAGGGGTCAGAACCATCAGGATACAAAAGCTGAGAGCCAGAGCTCCCTCTGGGAGAAATGCCCTCTGAACCTCCTTTTTACCTTCCCTCTTGTAGGAATCCATGTGCTCATCCCACCTGGGAGAGTCCTCTGTCTTTCCACAGAGCTTACAACAGAAACTGTCCTTTCTTTATGGGAGAGGATGGCAGGAGGGGTAGGGCTGGGATCAGCAGGGTCCCTGAATGCCCTCCTCCAACCCACTCCAAGACCCTCACCAATCTCATTCATCAGGCCTCGAAGCCGCTGGACAAAGATCCCCACTTCTGCCTCACTCATCTGCTCCCGCTCCTTCAGGTCTGCACCTGCGGATGGTGAGGGGTTGGGGACAGCCTTTGTGAAATGACCCATTACTGAATCCCAGGCTGTTGGAGGATCCAGCAAAGGAGACTTGAGGACAAGCAGCCAGAGAAGAAGGCGAAACATCAGGAAAGCATGGTCCAGGAAGCCAGGGCGGCAAAGGTGGGGGAGGGAGGGTTGTATGTCTAAAAAGGACAGGGGCAACAACAATAAAAAACTTGGACATCAGAATGAAAAATTTTTGTGCCTCAAAGGACACTATCAAGAGAGCGAAAAGAGGGGGCGCCTGGGTGGCTCAGTGATTTAACCCTCTGCCTTCGGCTCAGGTCACAATCCCAGGGTCCTGAGATTGAGCCCTGCATTGGGCTCTCTACTCAGCAGGGAGCCGGTTTCCTTCTCTCTCTCTGCCTACTTGTGATCTCTGTCTGTCAAATAAATAAAATCTTAAAAAAAAAAAAAAAAGAGTGAAAAGACAACTCACCAAATGGAGGAAAATACTAGCAAATCCCATATCTGATAAGGTGGTAATAATCTAGGATACATTAAGAACTCCTAGAACTCAGTAACAAAAACCACAGAAGACAAGGAACTTGAATAGACATTTCTGCAAAGAAAATACGTACAGATGATCAATAAGCACAAGAAACGATGCTCAACATCATTGGTCATTAGGGAAATGCCAATAGAATCCACAAGGAGACACCAACCTCACATCATTTAGGATTACAAACAACAACAGAAACAGAAAACAAGTGCTGGCAGGGGTGTGGAGGACCCCGGTGCATTGCTGCTAGGAATGGGAAATGATGCAGCTGCTATGGAAGACACTTGAGTGCATCCTCAAAAAGTTAGATGTAGAATTACTATATGATCCAGCACTCCCACTCCGGAAAGAATTAAAAGCAAAGACTCAAGAGACTTGCCTCCCAGTACCCATAGCAGCATTATTCACAATAGCCAAAAGGTATAAACAACCCAGTGCCCATCAAGATAGATAAACAAGGGGCACCTGGGTGGCTCAGTAGCTTAAGTGTCTGCCTTCAGCTCAAGTCAGGATCCCAGGATCCCAGGATCAAGTCCCACCTCAGGCTCCTTGCTCAGCAGGGAGTCTGCTTCTTCATCTCCCTCTGCCTTCTGCTCTCCCCTGCTTGTGCTCTCCCTCTCTCTGACAAATAAATAAATAAAATCTTAAAATAACAAAAACACCACGATGTAGTATATATACAATGGAATATGGTTCAGCCATAAGTAGAAATGAAATTCTACCATGCTACACCATGGATGAACCTTGAGGACATTATGCTAAGTAAAAGAAACCAGACACAAGGACCAAATGTATGATTCTGCTTGTATGAGGTAACTAGGATAGGCAAATTAATAGAGAGAGACAGTACAACAGAGATTATCAGGGCCTGGTAGGGGAAGGAGGAATGGGGAAGAACTGCTTCATGAATACAGAATTTGGGATGATGAAAAATTTCTTGAACTGGACGATGGCGATAGTTGCACGGCCTTGTGACTCAGATACTTGCACCACACTATACTCAGTGTTACTTATACTCAGTGTTACTTAATTTTATACTTAAAAATGGTTAAAATGTAAACTCTGTGTAATGTGTATATTTACCACAATTTTAAATGTATAATATAATATTTAAAATATATTATTTCTTTCCAGTTTTATTGAGAAACAGTTGACATTGATTATTTTTTAACAGGAGGGGACAGTGTGGTCCAAGGAGACTGAGCGGTCAGGTAAGATGAGAACTGAGAAGCGAGGGCAGGATACAGTGGCATGGAGGTGGGCAAGGACCTTGGTCAGAGTAGTGTCATCTAAAGCCAGATGGCAGGGGCCTGGAGGTAGGAGTAGGAGGTGAATATATTCTCTTCAAGCCTGAGACTAAGAAGTCAGAGCTGAGAGCCCTTGCAAGTCTTTGATTAGTTCCAACCCCTAATGACAGATGGAGAAACTGAGGTGCAGGGAGGGGTAGGGGTGATCTCAAGATTCCAGAGCAAGTCAGGAACAGACCCAGATCTCCTACAGTGCCCCACGGCCTCTTCCTACCTCCCCACTGACCACTGTTCTCCCTTCCCCAATCACCCCAGAGTGGGTTCTTAGCTCAGCCCAGCATCTCTCTCACTCACTTGCTTCTTGTGGGATGGGATGTTTCTAGTCTTTGAGACAGAAGTTCATAGTGCTTGTCCTCTTGTGGGAACCAAACCATCAAGGGGCAGTGGAGAGCTATGGTGACAGGGACTGAGATCTTGTGGATGGGCAAAGGGGCACAGAGTCCTATCTTGGCCACAGACCTTGTGAATGTCACTGGACTCGGTTTCTTCATTTCCTCAGTGAAGGGTCAGAAAAAGCATGGTGTAGCAGAAAGAACAAGGATTTGGGGATCAGAGGGGCCAAGTTAAAATTCTGTTTTACCTCTTACTAGCTGTGTAATACTAGGCAAGGAATTTTACCTCTTTTGAGTTTTTGAGTTCACATCTGAAAAATGGGAATAATAAGTCCTATGCTAGAGCTGACCTCAGCCCTCGACCCCCTGTAGGCTGGGGGTATCCTGATGAGCCCAGAGGGAGGGATACGGGCAGGGGAGGAAACCCACCTGCACAGAACACACCCTTCACTCCACTTCTGAAGAGCAGAACACGCACTTGCTGGTCCTCCTGCAGCTGGGCCAGAGCTTCCAGCAGCTGCAGAGGAGACCTTGTCAGATACCCCCCAGCCCAGCCCCATCCCAACACCCCCGCCCCACCCTGGTGTCTGCCCTTTCTCACCTGGCTGACCAAGACGTTCCCCAAAGCATTGCGGGCACTCGGTCTGTTCATCAGAATCTCAGTGATTCCTGCAAGTGACAGGGTAGCCTTGGGTGAGCCAGTAGGCCTGCTCACTCCTGGGCTGGGGTCTGGAGGCAGCAGCCTGGGTTCTGGGCAACCTCTACTCTTCATGAGCACTGGGACTTGGGGCAAGTCACACACACCCATGCTTCAGTTTCCCTGACGATAAAATGTAGAGAATAACTGCTTGTTTCTTCTGCCTCACAGAAGTGGAATAGCTTGTAAACCCATGGCTCAGTCTTTCTCCTGTACCCTTCGTTAGCAAATGATCTGTCAACCCAGAAGGCTGTCCTGCTGCTCCCTCTTCCTCACCTATGCAATTTACTCAGTCTCCCTGAACAATTCAACCTCCTAAACAGATCTCAGACCTTTCAGCTGATACCCTCCCTGCAGCCAGTAACCTGATATGGGCTCTCTCCTCTACTACATGAGTTGCCTAACTGGCCCTCTTGCCTTCAGTCTTGCTCTTCCTTCCGACTCCAAATTCATTCCCTCATTTGGGTCCAAATCCTCTTTCTAACCCAAATCCAACCATGTCCCTCCCTTTCCCTTCTCACCAAAATTAAGTCAAATTCCTTAATATCACCCAAAAGATGCCCCCCTTCCCCAATCTGGCCATTGCTTCCTACTCTAGCCTTAACCCACCCCCACAATCTGGGCCAGTTGTAGAGAAAAGAGAGCTCTGGGCATGGGCTCAAATACTCTAATACCTTCTTGGCTGTTTTCCCTCTAGTGTTTACCTATCCTTTAGTCTTCAAAGTCCTCTCATTATTTCATTCCAGGGTTCTTAGCCTTGTCTGTGGAGCAAGCCCTATTTATTAAGATGGCTTTCTCAGTGTGAGTTGATCTATAACACAGGGAAGGAACAATGAAAGTTTGAGGGCTCTCAAGGGACAGAGTTTCCAGCCAGGAGTTAGAGAACTGTGGTTCAGGACAGAAAACCATAACATTTCAGATTAGATGGCCTCCTTAGCCTCCTTGGAAACCTTCAAAAAGTTCTTTGAGCCCAGCAGGCCTCTGGAAGTTCCACAGAACTCAGATGCGCCCAAGGTCTTCTCCAGCTCTAGTGCTCCAGGAGAGAAAATGCTGCAACTTTAAGGAAGAGAAACTCTAGTAGATAAAGAAAAACCGCACTAGAGTGTAGCAGTCCAAGGTCTTTGTGGCAGACAGACCCTAGACTGGGCGCAATCTTCATAGCCTCAGTAATCTCCTTCCTTGGAGTGTGGGCAAGGCCTGTGAATTGCTTCTAACCAACAGAATGCAGCTAAGATCATAAAATGTCACTTCCAAGACTGCGGTTCAATTATATGGCACCGGTGATAAGGTGTTAGTTCCATCATTAGGCTACAATGCATACATAAGACTCTGTCTTGCTAGGGCACACTAGCCAAACTAGTGGGCCTATAGAGAGGGTCATGTGGCAAGCAACTAGAGGCAGCCCCCAGGAGCTGAGAATGGCCCCCAAGCAAGGAGGAAGAAAACAGGGCTTCAGTCCTACAACCATAGAAGGTGAATTTTATCAAAAGAAGCAGCTTGGAAGTAGATCTCTCCTTAGTCAAGCCTACGATGAGACCACAGCCCTGGCCAACTCCCGGGATTGCAACTCAGTAAAACCCTGAAGCAGAGAACCCTGCCCAATTGTGCTTGGACTTCTGACCTCCAGAAGCTATAAGACAATAAATGTGTGTTATTTTAAGCAGTAAAGCTTGAGGTAATTTGTTATGTGGCAATAGAAAACTAACACAGTCACGACATCTTGAGACTGGTAGAAACTTTCCTCTCTCCTCTTCACTTTCCTGTTCTGTCTCCTTTCTTACTGGCTGAATGTCTCCCATATTTCATCTATATCCCTTCTCTCCATCTTTATCTCCTTCTTCAGAAGACAAATAGGGTGCTTGGCTCAAATCACAGCTTAGCCATTGACCTTGGGCAAGTTGGTTTACTCTTCTGGCCTTCAATTTCCAGATCCATAAAAAGAAATTATAAAAAGGTTGTTATGAGGATTTAAGGCGATAATGCTTGGGCCACCTGGCTAGCTCAGTTGCTAGAGCATGTGACTCTTACTTAATCTTGGGGTTGTAAGTTCAAACCCTATGCTGGGTATACAGAGTATTTAAAAATAAAATCTAAAAAAAAAGGGGGGGGGCGCCTGGGTGGCTCAGTGGGTTAAGCTGCTGCCTTCGGCTCGGGTCATGATCTCAGGGTCCTGGGATCGAGTCCCGCATTGGGCTCTCTGCTCAGCGGGGAGCCTGCTTCCCTCTCTCTCTCTCTCTCTCTCTGCCTGCCTCTCTGTCTACTTGTGATCTCTCTCTGTCAAAAAAAAAAAAAAAAAAAAAAAAAAAAAAGGGAAAAAAAAGATGATGCCCATAAGTGCTTAGCCAGAGTTTATGGGTATAGTGAACAGGAAAAAGGCATAGATGCTAGGGAAAATTCCAGGATTCGAGAGAAGGAAAGAACTTCAAGCTGGGTGCTATGAGGAGCCAGACAGGGTGTCTTTGGCTTTCATTCAGTTTGTACTCCAACATGTCAAATCCTAGAGAAATAAGAGAGAACTCAGCCATGGTCCTGAAGTTTTTCATTGAGCTCTGATTCCGAGAACATTGCCCTTGTGGGACCTCTGCAGTGTTGTAGGTCTGTATCACACCGTCTCCGATCTTAACCAAATCCACAAGCCACTGGTTAATAATTTCCTTAGCAGCTGACCTTAGCTCACTTCTATCTGGATGGCCTCCATCTCAGGTCAGGTAATATAGGTGGGAGTGGTAGGGACCAAGGGCAGGCTGCTTTGGATCACTTTGGCATGAAGATTATTTGAGTTAAAAAACAGTCAAATCCAATTAACTCAGGAAAAGCTCTTTACGTCTCCCTCCCCAACAACTGCCCAAATAGATACAGGATCTGATCCAGGAAGAGAGTTATCACCATAAATAACTACATTTTACTATGAACTACGTATGGTAGACTGGGAGGAACCCAGCAAGACCTGGTTTGTTATTGTTGTTATTATTGTTTAAGATTTATTTATTTATTTATTAAAAAGATTTTATTTATTTATTTGACAGAGAGAGAGAGATCGCGGAAGCAGGCAGAGAGGCAGGCAGAGAGAGAGGAGGAAGCAGGCTCCCTGCGGAGCAGAGAGCCCGATTCGGGGCTCGATCCCAGGACCCTGGGACCATGACCTGAGCTGAAGGCAGTCGGTTTAACCCACTGAGCTACCCAGGCGCCCTGTTTAAGATTTATTTACTTGAGGGGCACCTGGGTGGCTCAGTCGGTTAAACCGACTGCCTTTGGCTCAGGTCATAGTCCCGGGGTCCTGGGATGGAGCCCAGAGTCCGGCTCCCTGCTCAGTGGGGAGTCTGCTTCTCCCTCTTTCTCTGCTCCTTCCCCCAATTTATGCTCACTCTCTCGCTCTCTCAAATAAATAAATAAAATCTTTTCAAAAGAAGGTTTATTTATTTGAGAGAGAGGAGAACTCAAGAGAGCAAGTAGAAGGTAAGGGGCAAAGGGAGGGAAAGAAGATTGAAGCATACTCCTTGCTGAGTGCTGAGCCTGAGCTGCAACCAAGACTCAGAAGTTTAACCTCTTAACTGACTGTGCCACCCAGGCACCCTATGGCCTGTTTGATCAAAGTCCTCTATGTCCCATTGTTTCTGGGTGGCCCAGCAAACATTTGTTTAGCAAACATTTACTCCTTTTCATCTTTTTTGTGAATTGTATTCCTTCCCTCTGAAGTCCCAGACCCTTACCTCTTCTCCTTAGTTCAGAGTGACTTATTTATCTCATTTTGCCTGTTTTTGGAATTTCCATGTCTGTATGAATTCCCTGTACATACAGAATTAAATTTGATTTTCTCCTGTTAATCCATTTCATGTCAATTTGATTCTTAGTCCAGCCAGAAAGACCTTGAAGAGGACAGAAAATTCTTGGTCCCTGGAAGAGTCAATAGAAAGCACACTGTAAGGGGTGCCAGGGTGGTTCAGTCAGCTAAGCATCTGACTTCTGCTCAGGTCTCAGGGTCCTGGGATGGAGCCCCACGTTGGGTTTCCTGCTCAGTGGGGAGTCTGCTTCTCCCTCTCCCTCTGCCCCTACCCCCTGCTTGTGTGCACGCGTGTGCACTCTCTCTCTCGCAAATAAATAAAATCATTTATTTTTTTAAGAACTTTTTTTTTTTTAAGATTTTATTTATTTATTTGACAGACAGAGATCACAAGCAGGCAGAGAGGCAGGCAGGGGGGATGGGGAAAGCAGGCTTCCCACTGAGCAGAGAGCCTGATGTGGGGCTCAATCCCAGGACCCTGGGATCATGATCTAGGCGGAAGGCAGGGGCTTAACCCACTGAGCCACCCAGGCACCCCAAATAAAATCATTTAAAAAAGGAAAAGAAAACACCGCAAGGTATTAGGGACCAAGTGGTTTTACAACCCCATACTATACAGAAGGGGAAACTGAGGCCCAGAGAAGAAGTGAATGTGCCTTATATTAACGCCAGACTCAGCTGGCAATCCTTACTTCCACAGAGCTAACAGCCTATGAGAGAGTCCAGTCCAGATACATGGAAAGTAAAGGGATAATGGGAGGGGGAGGAGTAATTGCAGAAGGACTTATATCAGCAGAGAGGAAAGAGAATTCAAGGTGACAAAACAGAGGTGGGAAGGTGTAAGATGAACCCCCGGCTCGAAGAGAGAAGATGGGAAGGTGAGGTTGTGGTGCTGAACCCTGCGCACCCAGCTAAGGAATTGAGTCAAGCCATAAGAAGAGCCAAGAGTGGTTAAAAATCTAATCCCATTTTCTTTCCTTCTTTTTAAAGATTTTATTTATTTATTTGACAGAGAGACACAGAGTCAGAGAGGGAACACAAGCAGGGGGAATGGGAAAGGGAGAAACAGGCTTCCCACTGAGCATGTGGGACTGGATCTCAGGACGCTGGGACCACGACTGAGCCAAAGGCAGATGCTTGAGGACTGAGCCACCCAGGCCCCCCAACTAATCCTATTTTCAAGGGCAACAG